CAGCCTGGCCGGCCCACCTGAGGAGCAGCCCTAGGTTCCAGAACGTTTCCAGCCACATCCACCCACACGGGCCCCAGCACCCGCAGCTGGTGATGGAGAGCCTGGCACAGGGCAGGGGTGTCCCTGGCCCTGTAGGAGCCATGTGGGGGCGCCCACTCGCCAGGCATACTGGCAGGATCCTAAGTCACGTGTCTCTGGGGCAGTTTGGGAGGGCCCGTGGTTCTCTGTCTACATGCTGGTTCATTCAAGTCTGGCGGTGGATGGAGCAGAACTGGCTGTGTCATCAGACACGGGTCCCCCAAGCTGGATACTGCCCCTTAGGGCGGCCCTGCTAGGTTTTCCTTCCTGCGAGGGGACGACAGCTCAGCGGAAGTATTCCCCAGGGTAGCTGTGGACATGCAGGCGGCCAGGAGTACAAAGACCCTGTGAGCTGAGGAGAGTGGGGTGGCCCATGGGGGCATCTGCTGGCTAAGGTGGGGGAGGCCAGCGTGGTGTCCCGTCTGCCTGCAGGCCAAGGGCAAGTGGGAGCAGGAGCAGCGGAGGGAAGACTAAGCCCAGAGGAAGGTCAAGGACCCGGCTGGAGGAGCGTGGGGGAGGGGCCCAGAGACTGGGCAGAGAGGGCAGCATCCTGGGACCCACTGGCTCTCTGCTCTTGTCCCACCTCAGGGGTCCGAAACCCCCCCCAGTGCCCTTTGCCAAGGAGCCCCCCCAGCCAGGCCCACGACGGTGTGTGCTGTGAGCAGAGGCTCAGCCCCAAGGCCAGGTGCGTGCTGTGAGCAGGGGTGTCACTGCACCTTGGCCTGCGGCTCTGCCTCTCTGTTCGGAACCCTTCCCAGCTTGGCTTCCAAGGTCACTGTCTTCAGTCCATTACTTTCAACCCGGGTCTGGCCATGGATTAGCTGGCATCTCCCCCTCCCCTCCCACAGCACCAACCACCCAGGCGCCACCAAGTCCCAGGCCATGCTCAGCTGGCCACCTAAGAGGCCGCCTGTGCTCAGGGCTTCTCAGCCCCCTCGTCACAGCCCCCAGGCAGAACCAGTTCCCTCTGGCCTGAACAGGCTGCTGACTAACCCTGCAGCACTGCCGCTCAGGACCATGCTGACCACCCAGTGCACGCTACGGCACGCCACGTCACGGCACGCCACGCCACGCAGAGTGCATGGACATGACAGAAGTTTAGGAGAAGAGAGCAGCCTGGGAGAGGGAGGCAGCGTGAAGGTGCCGGCTCCTTGGTGGCTTGTCTCCTGTGGGACCAGACAGGCCCGTCTTAGGACCACAATGAGGGCAGCGGAGCCTGGGACTGGCCTGGCTGGCCACCCGGCTGAGCCCGGAGAGGGACTGCACTGCTTGCTGCGTCAGGGCTGAGCAGGAGGCGAGTGTGGGCTGTAATGGGCCAGGACTGGCGCCTGGAAGCCCTGGGCAGAGGGAAACGAGCCACCGATGCCGAGAGCTCCAGGTCCCCTCCCTCCCGGCCCCCTCCCGCCGGTCCCCTCCCTCCCGGCCCCCTCCCTCCCGGGCCCCTCCCGCCGATCCCCTCCCTCCCGGCCCCCTCCCTCCCGGCCCCCTCCCTCCCGGCCCCCTCCCTCCCGGCCCCCTCCCGCCGGCCCCCTCCCTCCTGGCCCCCTCCCGCCGGCCCCCTCCCTCCCGGCCCCCTCCCTCCCGGCCCCCTCCCGCCGGCCCCCTCCCTCCTGGCCCCCTCCCGCCGGCCCCCTCCCTCCCGGCCCCCTCCCTCCCGGCCCCCTCCCGCCGGCCCCCTCCCGCCCGGCCCCCTCCCGCCGGCCCCCTCCCGCCGGCCCCCTCCCTCCCGGCCCCCTCCCTCCCGGCCCCCTCCCACCGGCCCCCTCCCGCCGGCCCACTCCCTCCCGGCCCCCTCCCGCCCAGCGCCCGGACAGAGGCAGGGCCTGGGCCCTCTGTGGAGCCTGAGTTCCGGAGAAGCTGCTGACGTGAGTCACTACCCGCAGGCAGCCGCTCGCCCGACCGTTTCAAGCGTTTCCCAGAAAAGATCTCTCACCCTCGGGGAGGGCTTGCTGGTCCCAAGTCCCCCCCAGGAGCCCCAGAGGCAGGAGGGACAGAGGCCACTGGGCCGGCGGAGATGGAGAAGGGCTGAGCACCTAAAGCTCCCGCCCCAGCCTGGCCAGAGCCGCGTGCTGTGGGCCCGGGTGTGTGCTGGCGCCGGGAACCGGGCCCCTCTGAAGGGCGAGCCCTGTGGCCGGCTGCTCCGCCAGGGGCCGTGGCTGACCCTGCCTGACCCCTCATGCATCCAGCCGCTGCTAATCAAAACCAGCCCGCCTGCTGCTCCTCTTGCTCAGGGGAGCTCTGAGGAGCTGACGGGCATGAGGAAGAGTCAGATGACGAGGAATCTGAATTGCCAAATAGCTCTGGACCCATCAGCCCTCCCAGGAGCCATGGGGATCAGAAGCCGCTTAGATGCAAAGCAAGCTGGGGCTCAGCACCCGGCCCGCCCTGATTCTGAGTGCAGGTCATCCTTACTGTAGTGGAGACAATCACGACAGTTGCAGGAACGGTCACGACAGAAGGAGGCTCAGGAGAGAGGCAACGAGTCCAGCCACCGGCCCGGCTCCACGCCCGGATTAGTGAGCAGTCAGCCCACACCCCGTGTCCTTGACCTGTCTCTTCGCACCTCCCATGCAGCCTGTGGGAACCTCCGGAAGGCTACCACTAGTCCTGCCTGGGGCATCCAGGACGTCTGCTGTTTGGTAGTTGGATTCATCACTCACATTTACTAGTGACAATTAGGAGAGTCACACAAAGGTCCTAACGAGGGAAGGGACTGCTTTAGTCCCCGAGCCGGCTAATGCATGCTGGGGCTGAGCCCCACAGCTGTATCCGCAATTAGCGGCCCAGGCCCTGAGGCGCCCCGGTTCCCCTAGGAGCATGTTTCCCCCCCCTCTCCCCCGCAGCATCATCATTCCCCACCTCTGCTTCCCAGCTTCCAGGACTGCCCTTTGCACAAAACGCCAACTCTGGCCTCCGTCCAGCAGCCTCAGAGGGCCTAGCCCTGCCCAACTCCCCTCATTCCGGCTCCTGGCTCTGTGGCTCTCTGTGCTCCACCATCCCACCCTCCGTTCTGTAGTCATGCCAGCCTGGGCAGTGCCTGCCTCAGGGCCTTTGCACACGCCCGGCCTGGCTCGCTCCCCCGTTCTTCCTGTGGCCATGAGTGCCAGCCTGGGTTCCAGCTCACGGTGGCTTCCTCAGAGGCCGTTACCACCTGCCTGCTTCTGTCCATTTCTCCACCCTGTTTCTTTCCTTACCACCCTCATCGCATCCCGGCTGGTGACCTGGCTGGAGTCCTGACTACCAGGTTCCTCCCTAACGTGACAGTCTTTGGCCTCCTCAGCTGTCGCCAAGCCACACTATCTCCACCTTGCCACCTCGGCTCAGAGTCCGTGCAGGGCCCCCAGCAGCCACCGCCTCACGCATCCTCACGCCTCTCTGGCTGACGCCGAGGTCCCTGTGACAGCCCTCGCACATGGTGCTTGGCGTTACACTTCACCGGGGCCTGCCGTGGGACAGCCATTCTTCACAGGCCAGCCGCACAGCCGCCCTGAGGACTTTACGGTCTGCTCAGAGCTATCGCCCTATGAGCCCTTCTCCATGAGAGCAGGACTCCCCTCCCCCCGCCCCTCACCCTCTCCTCCACAAACCTGTTTCTTATAAACTCCATCTGGGCCCAGGGTCCTCCTCTGGGCGGCTTGACCTCAGAGCCCCACAGCTGGGAGGTCTTACGAGGGGCAAACCGAGCCGCCCGCGTGGGGAAAGCTGGGGCGGGCGGCGGGGCGGCGGCCAAGAACCCGGAGGCGGCCGCTCTGCCCCGCTGGGGACTGGCCCGCTGGGGACTGTCGGTCCGCGCTGTCCTTGAGGAAACGCCTACACAAACACTGAGGGTCCTAAGGAGCCCGGGGAAGCAGCGCTGATTAATAACCCGGGGTGTGTACTTTCTAGCTGTTTTTGTTTTATTTTCTTTCTGAAGAACCGCTTTCCAATAAAAATCCTGCCCAGGGCCCCGGTGTCACGTCTGAGCCTCTGTCAGCTTCAGCGACGCTGGGACTTGACACCAAGACCTCAGCCCACCCCCCAGAGACCCTGCGAGACCAACACACATCCCCGTGCTGTGGAGGAGCAAGCGGAGGCTCTGAGCTTCCCGGGAGGCCTGTCGGACTCCGCCAGGCCCATCGTGGGCTGTCCTGTCCTGTCCTGTCCTCCTTGCACACTCACTCCCTGGGCCGCTCAGAATGGCCAGGCCCAAGAGGCCAGCTCCTGCCCCCGCCCCCACCCCTCCTGCAGCCCGCTCGCTGCCGCCCAGCCTGCAGAGGCCCGGACCTCCCTCATCTCCAGCACACAGGCCTCTGCCTCTGCAGACGCTGTTCCCTCGGTCTGCAAGCCCCTCTGTTCCGAGCACGCAGGTTCTGTCTCTGGCCAGCCTGTCCCGCCTCACAGCCCTGCTGCTTTGGGCACAAACTCTGGCCACCGCCAAGGTCCTTCACCTTCTGGGACCAGCAGGGACCAGGCTCTGTCCCAGCCTGGGCTGTCCCCAGGCTACCTCTGCGGTCAGGCTGGCCAGGAGTCTTCCAGGTCCCTTTGTCTGGCCCCAGCCGGCTGGCCATCCACCTGGCCTCCAGGGGACAGCAGGCTCCTGACCAGGAAGGCTGCCCGGGGCTGGTGACGTGGTGAAACACAGCCCGTCCTGGATGTTGCCAGACTCACAGAGACTGAGAGAAGGGCCCTAGCCAGTTCGGGCCCCCAGTTCTCCTTGGGGGAGGGGACCAGGAGAATGGGGCGGTGCTCTTTCTGGCCACAGCCAGCCCCCAAGCCCGAAAGGAAAACTGTTTCTCTGGTCACATGTACCCGTGTGTGGCCCCACCTTGTCTCCAAATAAAACACCAGGCACACTCACGCCTGGTGAGCGGCAGCGGCAGGCGTGGAGGAGCACGGAGAACCAGCACCCGCGCCGGGCGAGGTGTGGGCGGCGCGGGACTCACCGTTGGAGCGGTGGATGCAGGTGTGCTGGTTGTCGCTGAGGAAGAAGCCGCTGTGGCACTGACACTCGTAGCTGCCCAGGGCGTTGACACAGATCTGCTGGCAGCCACCGTTGTTGTCCTGACACTCGTCCACGTCTGTGGGAAAGGAAGAGAGGGAGAGGAGCTGGAGGGGAGGGTGCAACAGCTCCCCAGATTGCACTCCCCGAGCTACCTACGGGTGGACCCTACCCCAAGGCGTTATCCACCCCACAGCCGTACTCCACAGACACCCATGGTCGGCAAACTGCGGCTCTCGAGCCACATGCAGCTCTTTGGCCCGTTGAGTGTGGCTCTTTCACAAAATACCACGGCCTGGGTGAGTCTATTTTGAAGAAGTGGTGTTAGAAGAAGCTTAAGTTTAAAAAATTTGGCTCTCAAAAGATATTTGGCTCTGCTGACTAATGAGTTTGCCGACCACTGCACTATACCATATCCCATGGAGTGACGCCGGGGGACAGCTACCCTGGCTGTCGCTCAGCTGACGCTGACTCTCCTGTGTGCCGGCATCTTTCCTGTACTAACTCCTCTGAGCCTCCCGGGAACCCTGTCAGTCAGATCCAGCTGTGACCCCATCTAAGAGGTCAGGGAACTGAGGTACAGAGAGGCAAAGCCACCGTCTAAGGCTCCACAGAGGCAGGATTCAAACCTGGTGGTCTGACTCCCAAATCTGGGCTCTCACCGATACCACTGCTGCCCCTCCCCCAAGACAGTGCGGCCCACACGTCCACCCCCGCCCCAGCCTGGCCAGCCGAACCTCCGGTTCACAGCAGACGCACACGGCCTTGCAGCTAGGAAGGGGCTGGAGGACAGGGCAGCCTGCTGTCTCCTGTCCCCTCCCTCCTCCCCTCCCCCAATGCCGCTTTCCCTGATGCCCAGGCTCTCGGCCTCACAAATTGATTTCAAAAGCCCCGAGAATGGGGAAGTTTTGAAAAGGCCCTGACCCCTGGCTGCCAGGAGCGGGCGGAGGCTGCCAGGCGGTCTGTTCTGGCCAGGCGGCTGGCACAGAGGGTGCCGCCGGCTGGAGTCTTTATGGCGTTCTGGCCTCACACGGCACAGCATGTTTCAATTACCGAAGCCGTAACTCCCCCCGTCAGTTTGTTTAATGAAAGAAGGGCTGCTTAAACCTTAATGTGCCATGTCTGTATTGTCATTTTAATAGGCAAATATATGAAACCACAACGGCAACATGAGCTACCGGCTGTGTCTAGCCAATACCCCAGCCCCCAGCACACACACACACACACACACACACACACACACACTCGCTCATGCACACCCCTTGGGCACGGAGCCTGACACATGGTTCTGCAAACACAGGCATCTGTTCCTCCCGGAGGCAGGTGAGAGGGCCGCAGAGTGGCCGCACCGAACTGTCAGCTGTGCCCCTCGGGCACCGGGACGCCGACGGAGAGCCGCTCCCGGGGCGGCTGACCGCGAGGCAGCGTGCGGGGCAGAGCCCTGGACGCCGTAAGCCACACTGCGCCAGCTCCAGGGCAAAGGGGGCTGGTGCTGAGGGGAGCCGACGGTGGGGAGCGGGGAAGGCAGGAGGCGTTACTCTGAAACCCTTTTCTACTCAGTGAGGTCTTCCTGGTGGCTCCCTCAAGGCCCCGGCCCGTGTGGCCTCTGCTGGGACACCTCCCCCCACCACCCTGCTTCCGGCAGTCTGCCCCTGCCATGAACGTTCTAACCAGGCACCGTGTCCGGGTCATCCTGTGGAAAACAGCATGGAGCTAGCATTCCCCGAGGCTGGTACGGGTCAGGAGTGGCCTCACCAACATCAGCTCACCGGACCCTCGCAGCAACCCCGGTGACAGGCCGTGCTGCCGGCTCCCCTGCACAGAGGAGTCGCTCAGAGGGCGGGCGGGCTCAGACCCTGTGCAGCCTCTGAGCACAGGCCCCCGGCAGAGGCCTGACCGAGTCTCCTTTCTATTCCGCACCCTCAGGGGGCAGGCGGAGCGGGTGCTCAGAGGTCACAGGAGAAACTGAATCGTATGTGTGTGCACACACAGGGAGAGGGCTCACTGCCACACACGGCCAGGGCCCTGGCGCACGGCCCGGCCCGGCTCCTGCTGGGGACTCGGAGGGCTCGGGCCAGGCTCTCCACAGCTTGCCCACCGTGCACAGAGCAAGCCTGTCTCAGCCTGAGCCATGGCCTGGGCGGGCCCGGGGGAGGGGGGGGGAGGCGCTCTCCTCTGAGCCTTGCTGGCAGCTAAAGGTCCCTTATCTTTTTTTTTTTTTTTTTTTTAAATATATTTTATTGATTTTACACAGAGAGGAATTGAGAGGGACAGAGAGTTAGAAACGTTGATGAAAGAGAAACATCGACCAGCTGCCTCTTGCACACCCCCAACTGGGGATGTGCCCGCAACCAAGGTACATGCCCTTGACCGGAATCGAACCCGGGACCTTTCAGTCGCAGGCCGACGCTCTATCCACTGAGCCAAACCGGTCCCGGCAGGTCCCTTATTTTTACTTCGGCCGCAGCTGAGTGCTCCCAGAAGGCAGAGCGCCTTGGCATAGGGGTGTCCACACAGCAGAGACCAATGGGCTCTGGCAGACTCAGGAGGCTCTCAGGAACCCTTTAGCAACAGAACTGAAGGACGTGGTGAGGAGCAAGCCTGCCCCGAAGCCCCCTGCTCTGTAAGGGTCCTGCGTGGGGCTCTGCCTGGACCAGCCAGGTCACCCTGCCCACAGCCTCCCTGGGTAAAAGCGCTCCCTTCTTGAACCCACAAAGCAGCACTGATGGCAGTGGTGGTGGTGGTGGTGGGCGGGGGATGCAGACAAAGGTGCTGGGAGGGCGGAGAGCTGAACTGTGCTGGCTCCTGACTCGGGGCCCTCGGCTGGTGGAGCTGGGAGACACCCTCAGACACAGATCATTCTGGTTTGGTCTGCGGTGAAAGGAGAAGGCTGGGCACAGTGAGCACGCATTCATTCAGCCAAGCCAGGGCGGACAGGAGGTGTGAGGGAGGGAGGGATGAGAGAGACGGAGGGAGGGGAGGAGGGAGGGAGACGAGGGCGCCCAGGAGGACAAAAGAGGGACCTGGCTCCAGCTCTGCTCTGCTCCCACCCAGGCCTGAAGACCAGCTGTTTGCGAAGCCCCTCCCCCTGACCCTCCCGTATCCCAGCAGCCACAAGGCTACTGATGTCTCCTCAGGCAGTACCTCTGTCTCACCTCCACCCCGGCACAGCCCTGCTGGGGCCGAGGCCTCTCCCTCCCAATCCACGGTGATGACTCTGGGGCCAGGGTTCCACCACCCCCGCGTGGCTGTGAGCACGGCCTGATGCTGGGGTGGGCACGCAGCCCTCAGCTGGGACTCCCCCCGCTCTGCTCAGTGTGCCCCCCCTCATGGAAACTGGCCGCCCTGACCCCACTGGCCACTGCAGGGCTGTGTCAGGGCTGCTGGCTCCCAGCAAGCAGGTCTGCAGAGCCGGCCCGACGGGCTGCAGGCTGCTGTGCTTCCGGAAGGCCTCTGGCTGGCTGTGGATTGCCGGGAGGCTTGTGTTCTGGCCCAAGGTGGCAGTGTCTGTTTTTATTAATAGCTGGCTGTCGGTTCCCTCTTTGGGCCAAGAACCCAGGACTGTTATTTATAAGAACTGAAAATTACTCTGCATCCAGCGCCGGCCGCTTTGTTTAGCGCGGACCTTTCACGATTGGAAACAGAGACGCCGTGTTCTGCCTGGACCCCACCCATGTTTTCCTGGCCACTAAGAGTCTCCTGTGTGTCCGGCTCTGGCCTGGCTCCGCAGCCCAGCTCCCACGGAGGGCCAGGGGCAGAGGCGGAGGCACCGGGGCATCCCCGAGAGCTGCCTCCGGGACCCTGGGGCGGAGGCCCGGCCCTGCCCGGCTCTTCTCGGAGGGAGCTCAGGCAAAGAGCCTCTTGGCTATTGGGCGGTTCTTGCAAAATTGCATTTGATGACTTAAGTGTAAACAAATGAGAATCAGATGGGTTAGATTTGGGGTAAAATGCACGTGGGTCTTAGGGCTTCGGGGCCTGGGCTCTGAAGCTCCAGGACACTCCGAGCTGTCGGAGGGGCTGGCACAGGCGGCAGTGAGGTATGGCTGGGTCTCCCGGGACCTGTCTACTTCCTGGTCTGGCCCTCAGCGGGGCCTTCCCTGGGCTCCTGACTCCCCGCAGGTCGCTGTGTGCAGAGGACACGGGTTCCCGCTGCAGCCCGATCTGACGCAGCCCCTCGGGCTGGGCCTGAGTCCACGCTCAGGACGGGATGAGGCACATGAATGGTGGGCCGGCTCTCCAGAAACAGCGAGCCCCACTCACATCCACACCCAAGGAGCCGCCTGGGAGCCAGCCCTCTGTGTAAGTCTGCCGGCCCCTGGGTCTGGTCACCCCACCCCTCATCCAGGCCACCTTTCGTCTCAGCTGCTGCCGTCGGTCCCCAGCGATGGCTGAGCAGCATCGAACATCTCTGAAGACCGGGAGGTGGCTGCCGCGCTCCCCCTGACAGCGATCCGCACGAGGTCTCCCTGTGACAGCTGCCTCCCCCGGTCACAGAGCTGGGCACAGGCCTCAGTGAGTGCTTGCTGTGTGACCCTGAGCAGCTCACTTACCCTTGTGAGGCTTTGGTCTCCATCTCTATAGAACAGGGATAACGGTAACCTGAAATTGTGTTTTTCCAAAATGTTTTCATTAGTTTTAGAGAGAGAAGAAGGGAGAGGGAGAGAGATAGAAACATTGATGTGAGAGATCAGCTGCCTCCTGCACGCCCCCCACTGGCAACTGACCCCACAACCTGGACAAGAGCCCCGTCTGTGAAGTGATCTGGTGACCTCTTGGTTCATGGGCCGATGCTCAACCGCTGAGCCACACTGGCTGGGCTGAAGCTGTTTTGAGAAGAAAACAGTGGCGGAAGCACTTGGCACAGTGCCCGGCACGCACATACCACGGTAAGTGTTAGTCCTAGCCAGGCTGCCGCGGTGCCCCAGGCAGTCCAGGTGCAGGGTGACAACAAGCAGCATCCACTCAGTGTCACGCAGCCTGCGGTCTGCACCCTCATCTAATTCCAGAACATTCCATCACTCTCAAAGGAAGCCCTGAACCCAGTGTCAGCCCCAATTCTCCCCTCCACCAGCCCCAGGC